TTTTTTTTCAACGAAAGTACTCGGTCACCAGACTCCGGGAAAATTATTGGCGAAGGTCGGAAAATTTTTGCCGCTCGCCCGCGAGCGTTTTAAAATTTCGACCGTTTTCGAGAAAAACGCTCGCTGACGCCAGCGTTTTACGACTTAAGGTTTGAAATTTTCATCAGACCCGCCCAATGACATTCCTGACATATGATAAAAAAATCAATTCAATCCGTTCATTTTTCACATTTTACGAGCTTTTTTTTTAAGTCCACGCGCATGGTTGTATTATGCGCAGTGATTCATTTCTGCTGATACGTATTATGAACCTTATTTATATGGTGTATTATGTATTATTAGTAGGACACTATTTTGCATTTGCCCTATTTTTATCAAGGAATAATTTGCTTTTTTCTCATATATGATGTATGAGACTATGAGTTTATCCTTTGAATTGGGGTTCATCTATGATAACTATGATGTTCATCGTTAAATCGCAGTTACTAATATATTTATCAAAATTAAATTTTTATTTTTATTTTTAATATTAATTTTAATTTAAATTTATAGTGTGCCACTTATAATAACCTGCTAAATTTTTTTTTAATTATTCTATAATATAAAAACAATTATTATAATTAGATTATTAATAATTTTTGTGTATAACAGGGGTGTATTTAAGAGAGATTGGCCCCTCCTTGAACAAGCGCTATCAATATTTTTTTAGGGCCCCGGGTCTGGGGCGGAGCACCAGCTAGGCGGAGCCTAGTTAGTGTATAATAACTTAATAATATTGTGTTTTAATTAAGTGATAAGTTGGTGAACTTTAAAAATAAAATTTTTATGTTATGTTATTTAGTTTCTTGGACTTTGTGGGGTGGCGGGGAGGGGGAAGCCCCCACAAGTCTATGGAGAATTATTCATTTCATCCCCCCCCCTGAGCAAATTTGTAAATACGCCACTGAATGAGTCCATCAATTTTTATAAAATTTAAATAAATCCAACTTAGAATAAGTATAAATATAAACTAATTTTGCTTTTTTTACCTCCTCAAAGTTAAGAAAAGCGACTCTGAAATTTTAAACTAGCTTAAATAGTTCTTTTTATCTACATATTCATATCCATCACAAAGGCTGTAATTATACAGTCTTATAAATTCGGGATACAAAGTTCAAACCACGCCAGACAAAATAACACACTTTGCATTTTCTTCTTTATTTTTTATTTTTTAGATGGAAAACAAAATTCAAAACAAAAAATTGAAGAATTAAAGTATATTTTTGACACCGATGAAAATTATTTATATACCATTTATTCATAATAAACCATAAATTATCTTCTGAAAATTTATGTATCAAGCTTTTCTATATTTATACACGTTTGTCATAAAAGTAACAACTCATTTATAATTTTTTATAGTTTCTTAGGGTAGTGATTTTAATCATCTATACTTGTCTCAACTATGCCATGTCGACACTGTGCCACAACCCCACTTTTGTGTCTGTTACCACTTTTTCTCAACAATACGGTAAAAAATCACAAATTGTATTATGTTGAAGACTATGCCCATGAAAATTGAAAAAATTTCACTCGTTCCCCGTAAATGGTAGAAATTCCCAAAAATATCCCAAAAATATAGAAACAACACGATAAATGAAACACGAAAAATGATGAATTTTTACACCAAAAAAACATTTTTTATCATAGTTCGGGGGACGTTTAAATATAAAAGATAAGATGTCGGAACGAATTTTTTAAATGAAACTACTTAACCGAGGGTCCGAAAAAAAAAGATTATTGTGCATCACGGTCGGCCGCACTGGTGGATTCTAGTGTTTAATTAGGTATTCGATAAAAATTCTATTGTTCTGTTATACATTCAACGAATTTCACAAAGTGTTCAGTAAGTAATGTAACAGAACAATTGTTATAGACAATGAGAACAAAAGAAACCCGTTTCCTTATTTACTGAATACTCTATAGAATTTTGACCATATACCTAATAAAACAATAGAATCCGTTCTTCGTAGGCCCAATGTGACGGTCTATCCTGATAACCGATTAGAGACTCCCCTACAAATTGTATAATTTATTAATTTTGTGAGTAACACTATATTGATATTTTAGAAATATTGAATCATCATTTTTAGATAGATACTACATGTTTTGTTAATGTAACGTATAACATAATTTGTGAAGAAAATGTTCTAATCATAGAATTATAATCATACGTTAAACACGTGTTTACATGTATGTAGGTGTTTAATTTATAATACAATCATATGAATATGTAAAAATCGCCTATGCCTTAAAGTTCAAACCAAATGATATAATTGTTGCAAAGTTCAATACTCAAATATTTATCACGTTCACGAGCTATGATATTGTATTTCGTACTAGGTAATATGTTTCATTATTTTTTCGTAAAATTTTGTTTATATTAGATTGAAAAAGTGATTCATCAAAATTACAACAAATATCAACACTGAACGTGAACACCTACACGTTAACTCATTAATTACTCTAATCATAGTTCAATTGGAGTTTGATACTACTCAGAGAAAATGCATTGACTAAGAGACTTGTAGACTGGGTATGATACTAAATTGATCTTTGTTCGAGCCGACATGAAAGAGCACAGTTCCTTTTTTCATCTATTAATGTGTATTATTTGACCTTTTTTATATACATAAGCAAAACTTGATTATTTACAACGCCATTATTGCAATATAAAGTACGCTCATTAAATTAAACAATAGTACAATTATAATATTTTATTATTGATGTTATTGAGTATAATAATTTAGTTAGAAAAGTATAGCATAAATTAATACAAATAATAATTTATTATTGACCACTAAATTTCTCCAAATAAAAATTTTCAAAAAAAAAAATTATTTTGTTTCGTATTATTATTTTTTAATTTTTAAGAAATGCAATATTTGTT